AATCAGAAGAAATAAACAGGTTTACAGTGTATTGTTCTGATTATTTTCCTAACAAGTGCGCAAAGTCATTTTGTCGCATGCAAAACACGTAAAAACAAAAACCTTTGAACAATAATAAATTCATTTCAAATTCAAGCTGAAAATAAATACAAAATTTCTTTTTTCAACACTAATGTGCGTGTGCAAAGTATCAAGTGATATGGGAAAAGGCTATACTTTCCACACGCAAATGGAGTAAATTTGTTAAAATCACTCTAAGTTAAGTAGGATTGACTGAGCAACAAGTTCAAACAAATTCCAATATCTTTAAGTTCAAAAAACGACAATTTTGTAAATTTCGCGGTGGCGCTTGGATTTTTTAAAACTTTGGAGACCCATAACTGTTTTTCTATATTATAGATAGAAAGCTGAAATTTTTAGCGATTCTTATTCCAGTAGAGAACTACAATTCCTGAAAATTTCAGCTCATTTGGACTTATAGTTCCAGAAATTAAATTGAGTTAGAGTTAAGCAATTTGGGGAAGATTTATCATTGTTTCAATTTTCTGAGTGCCTTTTTTCATAGAATTTCTCTCCAAATCTCAAAATAATTTGGTGAATGGAGTTTGGGGGATCCCAAAAAACCATTAGGATACAAAATCTCAACAAAAAAAAAATCTAATAATATCGTTTTAGTAGGTACTGAATTACTGATAGTTACTTACATACATTACAGATAGTTACTTTATGATTTAGATTTTAGAAAATTTTGAAAGGTCATAACTTTTTTTTCTATTAGGTATCGATAGAGAGCCGAAATTTTCAGCTAGTGGAGGACTACAATCCCTGAAAATTTTAGATAATTTGGACTTATAGTTTCAGAAATTAAATTTCAGCTTCTAATCTCAGATTAATTAAGTGTATAAAGTTTGGGGTGGGGGGTCTCTAAAGATCATTTGGACACCAAATCTCAACACAAAAAAATTTGAAATTTCATCATTTTATACTATAGGTACCTATAGCTACCTTATGATTTGGATTTTTAAAAATTTTGAAGACCCATAACTTTTTTCCTATCATCTATAGAAAGCTGAAATTTTCAATGATTCTTATTCTAGAGGAGGACTAAAAGCCCTGAAAATTTCAGCTCATTTGAACTTATAGGTAGTTCCAGAAATAAAATCGCGTTAAGTAATTTGGGGTGAATTTATAAATTTTTCAATTTTTGATGAATAAACCAAACCTTAATAAAACAAGTTATCCAACCAAATACCGAATTCAAAAACACAAGAGGCTCCCCATCTGTTTTGTTCTCAAGGTTTCTAAACTATATGGCGATATTGAATAATAGATGAAAACAATTAAAATATTGAGCTGCTCATCGATTCGTTTTATGTTAAAATATCCTTGACACACAACTTACAAAATAGTTGTTTTAAGGATTTGAATATTTAGATAAATGTCTAAATTCAAGACCGGAAACGTTACTTTTTTTCTAACTTCATGTGCCTCATTTGAAATGTACGTGCAATTACGCAGTGCATAAATGCATTTGAAATAATAATTATTATGCGTCAGAGTGAGCTTGACCTTGTCCCTTTTTTAATCGTTCATTCGATTATTTATTTTGCATTGGAAATTATATAGCGTCAAGAAGGGTGAGTTTTTTCATTTGACAAATCGACTTTTAAAAAGAAAATTGATCAAAATATCTTATTATTTTGATTAAATTAATGAAACTATATGCGACTTCTAACAATTGGACAAATGTAGAAAAAAAAAGTTCCTTTTTCAAAGACTTGTTATCGAGATCAAATAATATTAGTTGTAGATGCAATCAAAAGTTGTAAAAATTCTGCAACCCCAAGTTTCTTCCATCCAAATCGTCATAATTGCCAAAAGTTTCAGTGACATAAAAATTGGAATTTTGAGTTTATTTCCTCAAAAAAAACTGTGTTCAAGCTTCTTTGAAACAGACTATTATTGGTCAATTGTTATTTCGCACTTGTGAATTCAACAACAAAGTCATAATAAAATAATTTCCCAAAGCACAAAAAAACTCGTGCATTGTCCACATGAAACGGCATAATCGATGATTTTTCTTCAACAATAATTTCATAAAAACTTTCTCCAGTCTTGCGCACAATAACCGGACAACGGTCAAGAGCCGACCAACAAATACACCAATTCCTATAGCAACCAATGGCAAGGTGATTTATCAATTATTCAAACTTGATCCGCGCTAAAAAGCGACGTCAGACGTTTCAGTTCTTGTTGTGAAATCGTTAAAGACACACTTTATTATTATTCACTGAAAGGATGTAGTGGTTTCACATCCAAAACAAAAATCAGTTCGTTTTATTGTTTTCCGGTTGTTTTTGTTAGTGGTTCGATGCCTTACTTGTACTTTCGCTATTGGCGGTTTCCGCGGTTTTCTTCTGCTCGTAGTTTAAGGCCGATGTTTAATTACACTTGAGTGTTTAGTGGTGGAATATGGGAATCTGTTTAGATACAGGTAAAGTTTTACATAATTTTTAAAAATATGATTCACAGTTGTTTATGTTATACTTGTGTAATGTTCAGGTGAAAATAAAATGCAAAATCATGGAACCTCTGTTCATTGGTAAACCCGAGACATACCGGTTTCTAAATTTTTTTACATAAAAATTGAGGAATGTCTAGATAAGATTTTAGAGCTTTTTAGTTGAAACTTAATTGAACGTCTAAAGTTCAAAAATAATCTTGTGACAAAATTGAGATTTCTGTCACATCTTCAAATTTCGTGGTAAATAATGCTGAAAAGTAAATTTGATCTGAAGCAGTAAATAACAGTTTTCTGAACCGGAGGCAATCTGAACGATGTCATCTTTCTTCTTTTCTTGGAGTGGTTATTGAAAGGTGTTAATAGAGACTCAAAATTAGTACGACTTACCACTTTTCTGTTGAAACTGGAAACACCTTCTCTAACCGCACAAACCGGCACGTAAGATCTTTCTACACCACCACTATCTATTTAAGAGTGAAAAAAAAAGTTAATTATTTAAAGATAAAAAAAAGTACCTAAGTAAAATATAAAAAAACTGAAATACCTTATTTAATTAATAGACCATCTACAATTTTTAACTGAAATAAAATTAAACACAATTGAAAGAAAATAGAATAATTTTCCAATTGAAAGATTTAGTTCAAATTCTGAGACTTTATTGAAAATTGAAATTTAAAAAAAATAATTATCACCTCTTTGGAGAGCTTTCACTAAAACACCGGGCGGCAGATGAACTAGCAGATGAGGACGGATCGAGAACTCATTAAGACTTTGCGACTAAAATTTCCGGCGATCACTCGTAGTAAAAACTAGTGGCGAATTGGCGATAACTGAAGTTATGTGGCTGCTTAAATAAACGAAAGGAACCACCCTCTGGGTACCACTTTAGAAGCCCATTGGCTCCTCTCAGTACCGGGCTTGCGAGAATCGAGGATCTCCAACCCTCTTAGCATTCAGCGATTCGCTGAAAGTACCCTTTGGTTTCTTGCCGTGTTCTCATTGGTTTTCAAGTTTAATCAACCTTCCCCATCCAAAGTGTTCAACCCTGTGATCCAGTTTGATGGCTCTCCAACAGAGTTCGCTACCTACATGTTGTCAAATTATTAATTGAACTTTTACTGTTTTCCCTTTTAATTGAAAATCTTTCCCTTTTCTAATTACCTAATTAGATGTATAAAATAAAGGTTCCCTAATTTCTAATCTAATTAAATGTATAAAATAAAAGTTCCCTAGATTCTAACTTAATTATCAAGGGTGTGAAATGATCTAAACTCTTTAATGAACTAAAATCTGTACCAATTTGATAATTATATTATTATTATACAATTAGTTATTGCATCTTAAAATTCCAGCTCATATAATCATTGTTTCGTTACACACACATATGTTTCGAATATAATATATCATTCTTTGCTACGCTGTCGGTTACCTGACATTTGGGTCATTATAAAACGCGGGTCAGAGATTATTCTTGACTTTGAATAAATTATTACAACCACATGGCATCTGGTTCAGTTGATAGATTAGTTTAAAGTTTAGTGTGTATCTCGGAAAACATATATTTTGCCTATATATTTGTCAATTTTGGGTTGCAGCAATAATAATCTTAAAGCTATAAAATTCGATATTTTTTTCTAGCTTTCAAGTGCTTTTTACTCTCGAACAGATCATTTTTAAGCTTTTGGTTGGTTAATTTTAGGCAGCCCCGGACCGGTTCATCAATTAAGGGACAACTCGCAGAGTTTCCTGTCCCTGGGTCAAAATTCCTACAGTTAATAGGTTGTCTGGTGAGTGGAAACAGATGACGTTATCTGGGGTACCTAATGAAGATTTGCATTATGTTTAGGCACTCCAGATGTCGTCATAAAAGTTATCAGGCAACTTATCTCTTTCAAACAACCTTGACCCTGGGTCAACTCTAACTCTGGGCTAACTCCTTAATTAATTCGGAAAGTGTTTATCCAAGCTTTTTCAGACAGTTCACTTTCGAAAAATTCGATTTCGTGAATTCTGTGTAAAAGTATGTGGTTTTGTTTTGAATGCCTGACAAAAAAACTTCAATCCAGGATTATACATAACTCACGTCACGGGGTAACCCGCTATCAGGGGCGCCGGATTTCAGAAAACCTCGTGGGTGCTGATGTTCATGCACCGGCATTTATGAGGGGGGGGGTGAACAGCCCGCCGGTGGCCAAAAAACTTCTCCAAAAGACACGCCCAAAAACGTTTACCAGCATTCTTTAATTTACATTCGGACGAGTATCTAAGAAGGGAATGGTAATACATTTCAAACAACGTAGCTAAAATTGGAAAAAAGGACGGTTATAAGGGTAAAGAGTAGAGTGTTTTCACAGCTATCAGGCAATGTAGTCTCCTCACTCATACCACCCACAGGTCTTTCCGCACGTGAATTCCATCATCTTAGACTAACTCAAATATCGCAGATAAATAACGACCTGGAGATAATAGAGGACTGGGGTAACAAAAACCTTGTACAGTTCAACGCGCAGAAAACCCAAGCAGCTCTGTTTTCAAAAAAGACCAGCATCGGTGAGCCAAACATCATGCTATCTGGAAGTGCTGTCACATTACAGAGTCAGTTGAACATCTTGGGGGTTACTGCAGAGACCAACATGTCTTGGCACAGTCACGTGGCAGATATTGCTAAAAGGGCGTCCTAAAAGCTGGGGGTGCTATTTCGTACAAGACATCTGTACACACCAAGCCAATTGCTGACACTCTACAAAGCCCAGATTCGACCAACTATGGAGTACTGCTCACATATATGGAGTGCAGCACCCAAACATACCTTAATGCTTTTGAACACCGTGCAAAAACGAGCTATCAAGCTGATCAATGACCCCGCACTTACTCGTAACTTGGATGGTCTCGAACATCGCAGATCTGTGGGCGATTTATCTCTCTTCTACAGGTACTATCACGGAAAATGCTCTGAAGAGTTGGCACGTATGATTCCACCGAGAGTAGCACCTACCAGGCGAACCCGTCAAACAGACGGTAACCATGAATTTACTGTCAAACTAGAGGTACCAAGAACCTCATTATATCAGAATTCATATCTCTGGAGAACAGCATCGCTGTGAAATAAACTCCCTGCGACGGTTTTCCCTGCAGGTTACAACCTGAACCGTTTCAAGACCAACATACACCGACATTTCCGCGCACTTGCCGCTTCTCGAGCGTGATAGGACATTTCCTTGCGAGTGCGCATATCCGTAAAAAAAAAAAAACAGAACAATACCCACCTCTACCACGTAAAAGCCCCCCTCCAGCATAGCCATCATAGCCCACCATTAATCTATTTTCAAAAGGCGCCGCCGATCTACAGATTTTCCCACGGTATCGAAAAACTTCCTAGGCTCAAGTGCCCCCAGCTATCAGACTAGCAGATTCACAAGCAAAATATTTATTATTGCAATAAAATTAATGCACCTGTTTATGACCAATACCCACCTCACAGCTATCAGAGCAATACCCACCTCCACTTCGTCAAATAGCTTCTACTCTGAAGAAGTACCTCTTTCCATATTCCTTCACTTTCTTGGAAACGAAAGAATATTTCAACTATTCCTGCATTTGTATTCGATCATCCATCCATGAGATCAATTTTATTGCAATAATAACATTTTGCTTGTGAATCTGGTGGACCACTTACGTAGTTATAGGTGGGTATTGGTCTGATAGCTGGGGGCACTTGAGCCTGGAAAGTTTTTCGATACCGTGGGAAAATCTCTAGATCGGCGGCGCTTTTGATCTGAAATTTTGGGGATTTGACCCGGGCCAACCCCAAAAATGACGAATTCGAATTCAAATGGAAGAATTGATTAAATATTCTTTAGTTTTGAAGAAAGTGAAAGGATATAATAAAGTGCCATCTCAGGGTAAGAGCCTTTTGAAAATAGATTAATGGAGGACTTTATGGAAGAGGGTTTACAGTGCAGGTGGGTAAAAAAAGCCTCCTCAGGGTAGGAGCTTCACGGAAGGGGGTACAGTTAAGGTGGGTAAAGTCCGCCTTACGAGTCTAGCACTACGACGTCTGAAGAGCAAGGGGACATAACGCCATTCATTTCGAGCTTTATGCTGCCTGTCATAGACGAGCGTGCAACGTTTTTGAATATTACTTTTTCCTTAGTAGGTGTATAATATAAATAAATATTAAGGTATTTCTTATTGAAAGTCAAATAGGCAATATTGCAATTTTTTTTATCCGCATTCTTTCTATAGTGCTAGACTTGTAAGGCGAACTTTAGTGGTATGATGACTGTGCTGGAGGGGAGCTTTTACGTGGTAAAGGTGGGTATTGGTCTGATAGCCGTGGAAACACTCTACTGTAAAGTGTGAAAAATTCTCCTGCAGATATTCTTTTCCAAGCAGCACGTACCGAAAATCTGCGTTTTTCGCTGTTCTTCATAAAAGATTTCTGATTTTCTTCATCTTCTTCTTCTTCTAAACAAAGTACCACCATGTTCTGATATCAACTGCCAGTACTGGATTTACTGTGCTGATTTTCTGTCATTTGCCGTTCCAATTTCAACAGGGTAGTCTTGTGGTCATTCAGTACTGAATCGACTGAATCCAGTGTACCTACTGAAAATAATATCGGAACGGCGTCCAGTAAATTCAATACTGACAGAGTTAATATCGGAACATAACCTATACCTATAAGGCTATGGTCCAAATATAACCAAACGTTAACCATTAGCTCTGTTCTAACAGACATGAGAACCGTTCCAGAACCAATAATTTCCAGTTGCCCACCTATTTTTCAATAAGTTGAACGTTTTTCCTAATTGACAAATGGATTGATCGACTGGAAATTACCGTTCTAGAGAGGTTTTCATGCCTGCTGGAACAGAGCTAAAGTAACCGAATCGGTCAACAGATGTTTACTGAAAATTCTGGTTACTTTGGGGAACGCAAATATGGAAATAAAACATAATTGACAGAAG